AACATTCCAAGAATTTTAGATATGAAAACATTGTTTCTTATATATGTAGGTATGTCAATGTCTATAGCTTAATGATGAAAAGAAGCATTTATCTTAAATAAAAAATTTTTTTCTGTAATCTTGTCTATGCTGAAATCATCTAAGGCTGCCAGCATCTATATTACAATTCCGTCTGGCTCTGCCACTTTGTTTCTGTTCAATTTGGCCAGTGCTGATTCCACTTTGGTTTTTAATATTTCCAGTCAGTCAATATTTCTGTGTATTGCTGGTTGTTCTTTTTCATAGTGGAAGAGTTTTGATATATTCAATCCATATTTGAAGTATTTTTTTCTTTCTCTAATATCATTGTTCTGTCCTTGGATTTTATATAGCCTGTTGATGAGCTCCAAGGAGCCCTGCTTTTAACTAATATATAAGAAGAGGCTGAAATTTTAATTACTCAAAATTTTATAGAATTAATTAACAGGGGAAAACAGATTTAAAAAAAAAGATATCTTTACCAAGATTTTCTAACAAAAAAGTTAAAAAATAATTTAATTCATTTGTGAATGAATCCTGAAAATTTAATTAAAATCCAACAAGTATTTGATTTTTGCAAGAATTTCCAAAACAATGTGTTTTTAATGCCTAAAATTCCTATACTAATCTGATGTAAGAAAAAACAAGATTTTGATGATGAAACTGTTTTTTTTAATCATGCTATGCTTTTTTTTTTTAGAACATCTTTGGAGGTATCTAGTTAGAAATGATACTTATAATTAACCTACAGATTGTTGCGTATTTATGAATTGCAGTTATGTAATCAAATTTGTAACTGGTATAACATTTCAAGAATCCACTTATCAAGTGCATTTCATTTAATCTCTAACGTGTGCAGTTGAGAAGGTTTGCAAAAGTGGAAGATTTGGGTTCATGTCTCTTAGAATATGTGTGAAAACTATTTTGCTTGTACCTTTTAAGTGACTAATTAAGTCACTTATTATTACCACCTTCAACAAGAAAATTTTATCAGTGGAGTTTTTTCCATTAAAACTGAGATCTCTTTAATTTAACATTAAAGATACTGGTCATTTTCATTCATTGTAGTCAGTGCTATCATTTTAGAGTACAGATATATGGTAGTTCTTTTTATTTTATTTTTGAGGAAATAATTCATATCTCACTATGTGATCAGAACAACAATCTTTATTAGAAATCTTAATTAAAACAAAAATGCTCAAAGCTATTTTTAATTTATTGTTCTTTTTTTAATCAATTACACATTAACTCACACTTAAAATCATGAGGTAAAATTTGATAACAAAGACAATATTAAGAACTACTTCTGCATAAAATGAATAAATAAATAAAAAAGCTATGGTAAATCTGAAAAGTTTTAAGAAATCTGAAATTACCAAAATTTTTTTTTTAAATTGAAAAAGTAGCTCATAGACCTCATTTTTTTTTAAATTGAAAAAGTAGCTCATAGACCTCATTGCTTACAAACTCTTAAAATAAAAATAAAACATTATCCAGGAACCAGGGATTACGAATTTTGACACATTATTGTTCTTACACCTGAAAAATTCAGTGTTTTTGGAAATTAGTAGTGTTTGTGTTAGTTTCCACACCACCTTCTCCTTATGTTTAAGTTTAAAAAGACAGCTCATTTTATTTTAAAATAAAAATCAATCTGGTAAAGATTGTTTTCTTGTTAATTCAAGAAAACAATCTTTGCCAGCTTGATTTTTTTTTTTAAATTTAAAAAATTTTTTTTTTTTAAATTAAGTTTTTTTTTTTTTTTTTTTTTTTAAATCGATGGCGTTAAAATAGTTCTGCAACTGAGAAAAACAAATAAACAATATATAAAAATCAAATCAAATCATTTCGTGTGTAACTGCAAAATAAAAAAGTAAACGTTTTAAAAAGAAAGCCATTTTGTTTGCAGATTCTCTATGCAACAATTAATTGTAATCAATGTTATTGTTTATGATAGATTTGTTTTGGGTTGCAAAGGTCTTGTAATATGGATTACTCAATAATCGAATCAGTCAATAAAAGCTTCGTGTTGTCTTTTAACGCCAACACTTTTTGCAACTGGTTTGTCAAGTGCTGTGCAGCAAAAAATCAAAATCAACTTAGAAAGAAGCATTGATGGATGCGCGGTTTTGTGGTTCAGTTGAATGGTTCTGTTGTGTAAGAAGCGCCGTAGTAAAACATTAAAATTATTAATCATGTGTTCAAATCACAACAGAGGCCAGTTAGTGTTTTTAAGATAATTTAAACAATCTAGTGATGACAAAATTACTGGCATAAACTAAAAATAAAACTCAATTCTGAAATCCTGCTATCAAAAAGTGAGACGTCATATATTCACTTCACTTATAGCAGAATAACACCGATGACAATCAATTAGATTTGCAGTTGATTGTAGTGAAGTGTGGGAAATTTTTAATTAATAGAGAATTCTCTTAGACAATTTTTTGCATGAAGCAACTCTCTCGAAGAAAGCCATACCAAGCTATAAAAAGTATTCAATTCAATCAATGAAACAAAAATTATTGAGTATGATGCTAGTTTGTAGTTAGAAGCGAGGGTTCAAAGAAAATAAATATAGCATCTTCCCGCGATTTTCAAAGTTTTCATTCATTTTTGTAACTAGTATTCACACTATCGTGATATTTATGCTGCTCAAATTAAAAGTAAAACGCATTATTTTTTCATGGAAAAAGTGTCTAAGTCTTTCTTTATTCGCCAAAAGAGCAGAATTTTTTTTTTATTTCACAGATCACGAAAGATTTAATTTAAAACAGTAACACATTTTTATTTAAATTTCTCTTTTTTTTTTTTTTTATTTAATTTAAAAAAAACAAAAAAACTCTAAACATTGCTATCGAAAACGAAACGGTCGTGATTAATAAAATAACGATGGATATTGTTTCGTTTTTAGATAACTTATTCTCGATTAAAGGAACAAAAATCGACAATTTGCACATGGAATTCGCGTCATATTTGTAACAATTTGTTGAGTCTGGCATGTAAATTTTACTTTTTTTGAGGTTAGAGTTTAACAAGAAAATGTATCGATTACTGAATTCTATTTTTTTGTTGACGAAAACTGAATTGTCAAGAGAAAAAAAAAATCAATGCTAACTAAAAACTGTAGTTTGTTATATAATCTGTCACCACAATAAAAAAGAAAAGCAGAGGTGGTGTGTGCCCGCTACTCACATATAAGCGGGTCGTCCTTATTGTTCAACAATCAACAACCACTGCATCTTTAACTATTGAAATTGAAACAAAACAAACGTGGATCATGTTTTTTTTTTTTTTTAATTTCTCAAATTTCTTTGGCATACAGTGACTTTTGCGATCGCAAATTAGGTAAAAAAAAATAATGCTGTTAGAGATTATTATCATTTTAAGTAAAAAAAAAACAAACAAACAAAACTGTAGTTAGCAACTCTCTAAAAGTAGAAGCATATGAATTGTTATTTAACTCAGCTTTAGTGCTGAAAAATGTGATGAATGGTTACAAGCGAGAGGGAAAATGGGATGAGCTTATTTTATCATAAAAAGAAAGAAAAGATAAAAAAGAGCTTCTTTGACTTGAGATTTTTGTGCAACCCAGACTCAAAACAAAAAGTTACTTCTTAGTGCTTATTAAAACTAAATTTTTCTGGCATCATAAATGCAACAAAATGTTCTATGAAAATTCGCGATAGTTTTTATAAAAATCAGAAAGACTTAATTTTTTATTAAGAAGATTAATTATTAGATTAAAATTGAAACCAACGGCTATTAAATATTATTCAACAAATTTCAAACAAACTTAATAATTATCATTCTTATTTTCATTCAACGTTTTTTTGTTTGTTTGTCAATATTGCGAAAAAGAAGGTGGGGGTTAAAATAAAATTTAAAAACCATGAAAGTTTCCACATGAAGGAATACACTTTATTTTATTAGTTAATTTCTTATGCTTAGCTTTAATTATAAAAAACTAAAAAAAAAAAATGAAAAAAAAATGTAGTTTTATATAGTAGTAGTTCAATCAAAATCAAACATAATTTCTTTCTTGACCTTATTTTCGCAACTCTTCAATTGCAGAAATACTAAAAAAATGAAAAAATATATTTGATCAGAAATATGGTTATTTTGCCAATAGTAAGTTAGTATCAAATAAGATCAGCAGGTATCTTCAAGAACAAGAATCATCATCCTGTGGTAAAAACAGAGTTCTTACCAAAAAATTACGAGTTACAATAATATTTTCAGCTGGTTCCTGTCCTCACTAAAAATATCCAAAACTACCAACGGATAAAAAAAATATAAAATAAGTAATAATATTCTTTCAGTTTAAATCTAAAAATGGCAAAAGAAAAGAAAAAAGCTGAATGATAGTGACAATAAAACGGCAACAAGTTTTTTTTTTTTTTATTTTATTGAAAGATTGAGAAAAGCATTTTTAGAACTTTTGGGGGTAATAATGAATGAAAGAATATTGGTTCAAATGCTTCAAGACAACTTAATAATCCACGTGAAACGCAATGCAATTTGTGTAACACAGTGTGTACTGTGTAGTACGTACACTGAAACCAAGGGAGCAACACTCACATCTTCGGTGCTGATCCATACATAAATAATCCTGTCATTTTTTACGGGTACGATGCTAGTAAGTAGTAGTAGTAGTAATAATAATTTTATTTAAACAGTAAGCATATTAAAAGTTTATTCATTGCTTAATTTTTGAAATCGACCATGATCATCACTTAATTCAACACTCATTTTTACAAAAACTTGAATATTTTTCAAAATTTTAATTAATCATTGTTTCTCTATTTACTTAAGTCAATATTTTTTTAATTAAATTCTAAAATTTTGCGTGAAAACAAGCGAAATGCAATAAAAAAGTAAAAATTAATTGTTACAAGTCATTTTTGCTAAAAAGCAAAAAATGATTTAGAAGGGGGAAAAAGAAATATTCATTTGTAACAAAAATGAACAATTGAATGACTTACCAAATATAAAGACCACCTTTGGTTCAGTGGATAAAAGTCGTGCTTCACTACCATAATTAATTTTTACTTTGTTTTTCTCGTGACCACCAGTACTACCAATGGCCGTGTCGTCTTCGACAGCTGCAGTCCTCCTCGACTTGGATCGGCGTAAATCTGAGAGGCCGCACCCCATTTTGGCAACATCGAATCCTTTTTGGTCATTGTAAGAGCTGACCACCTTTCCCAGATGGTGAAGCCATGCTGCTGCTTCTGGTACCCTGATAATAATGGAATTGGTTGCTTAAAAAAAGATATTGCTGAAGATGATGATTATTATGATGTTGATAGAAATTTACTACTACTACTAATAATAATGGTGATGGCAGTAAACAGTGAGCTGCGGTAGCAGTTGTAAGAGTAACAGTTACGATAGTGATTATTGGAACTAAGAAAAGATATACGTTATTATTGGCATTTTTGTTTCAGCCATCACCGGTGTCCAAGACATTTTCTATCTTTTAATAATTTCTTATTTTTCTTTGTTTTTAAATAGCGTACTTGAAAACTAGCAGTGAAGACACAGTCACACGCAGCATAAAATGTGTTTAAAAACATCAACCAGAGAGAGAGAAAGAAAGTCAAGACTAGCAGGGACAAGCAAAATAAAGAAGAAGAATTATTTAGATGACAGTGAGAATACGATCATAGAAATAAATCGAATTTAAAAAAGAAACTAAAGTCAAACAATATCAGTTGTTTTGTTAAGAGAAAAATTGTGTAATCTGAAAAAGTCTTGATCAATGTCACTTAAAAATAAAATGAAAACCGCTTTTCTTTTTAAACGACTTCGTCGCAATAGTTATTTGTTTTTATTCAAACGAAAAATTAGAAAAGAATTGACTAACAAAAAGCTACTCAAATTACCGACTGATAAATTTGGAAGAAAAACTACAAAATAACAAAAGAAAAGTTAGTCTAGCGACGACCAACAGTAAATAAAAATCTCTAGAGATGCTTTTTTTTTAAATTAAGTTTTTTAACTTAAATGATGACATTATGCGACAATTGCATTTTTTCTCTATAATTTCTTTTTGTGTCTTGTTTTTTCCCCCCTGGGTATCAATAGTGAAGGAGGCAATAGGTATGAGTGTAGAAAATATATGCATTGAAATGAAAACAAATAAAAGAACCTATTTGTTATGCGAGATCTGAGAATTAAGGTATCATTGATCTTGAAGCTTAAAGAGAGCAGTGACAAGAAGACTTAAGGTAGCAAATGCAACACTTCTAAGACTACCAACAGCAGTAGTAGCATCTTAGTATGTCAATTTCACTTGACTATATGTGCAGTGGCACCACTGTAAGCAGTTGTTCACGGTCTTTCGTAAATGTTGCAAGTTTGCCTTATTCAACAAAATTTTCTCTTTTTTTATACATCTTACTTTTTGCAAAAATGCAATGCAGTGTCATTATAAAAAAAAGTAACAACTTCTGAGATTATTATTTGTAGCAAGTTAAATGAATTGAAAATCGACCAAAAGAAAACACTCTAGCAAGACAAATAGTAAAAAAAAGTAGAAGAAAAGGAAATAATTTGATTAATTCTGTTTTTGATAAACATTGAACTACTTTTATTTTAAAGTTCTGTTTTATGTAGAAAGGATAAAAAGTGAAGGCAATTAACTCTACCCACTATGGGCTTACATTAAAAAATAAACAATGCTTTTTTACATAGATGATTTTTCTGGCATGTCATGACATGCCAGAAAAATCATCTATCAAATATTTTGAATCAGGCAGTTTGAATTTTTTTTAAACTAAAATATCATAAGAAATAGTAGTATTAAGAAAACTGAATATTCTTGCTGAATAACAAATTTAAACGTAACTCTTCAACTACAGAGTAAATAAAATTTCACATGTGAAAATAATTTTGCTAATTATATATTTTGCTAATCTTTAAAATTGTGTCATTTGTAAAAGAGTGATTTTTTTAAGCCAAAAATTGTTTTATGTCATATCTGTCTATATTTCTGAGATGAGGTATTGCAATTATTTACATTGTTTGGACTGTTATCCTCATCTTTGTTGCCTAATCAAGAACAAGGACCACTTCCTTCCTGAGACATACAGGCAATTAGTTGTCACGTTATAATAAACTGTATTTACATTAGTCGGACTATTGTCCTCATCTTTGTCGCCATATTTGTCACAACGTTTCGGCCGTTGTACGCTCCGGCCTTCTTCAGGTGGTTGGAATTTCGAACTGAACCCTTTATTTCGATCGCTGGGGTAGACTGTTCTAATTCCGTGCCATGTTTGATGGATGTCAGTTATCAGTTATCTCACCTGAAGAAGGCCGGAGCGCATAAAAGCCTTAAACGGATTGACAAAATACATAATCTTTGGCCAGGACAATAGTCCGACTAATGTAAATACTGTACATAATACCTCATCTCAGAAATATAGACAAACTCATTATAATAAACTACCTCACATATACAGTCTCCACAAAATTCTCTCTCTCTTGTTCTTGTAATGGCATTCACCCGAGGTGGGTTGAGCCAGCTCCAATATTGGAGTTTCATGGGAATTTAGAATTCACAAGCGGTCCTCAACCCGCATGTATAGCACATGAGATTTGATTATAGTGGTGAAGGTTTCATGCAGGACCATCCACACTTTTTGAAGGGCCGATTACAGAGACCTGGTGCACTATGTGCCACAAGGTCCCCAAACGACCCACCGCAGGTTTTGAATTTAGAGTTTTCCTTCTCCTAGACCAGTTGCCATCTAAGGCTATAGAACCCAGTCCTGCTATTTACCCATAGCTGGAGGGAGAAGAAGAGGATTCACACCTTTCCCAAGGGTATTATACGTGAAGTGAATGTAATGGATTCGACTGGAATAAAGAAGTCGGCTCTCCGATTCCTCAATCCAAGCCGCTATCCATTACTCCACCGTGCCTCCATCCATTACTCCACCGTGCCTCCATCCATTACTCCACCGTGCCTCCATACCATTACTCCACCGTGCCTCCATCCATTACTCCACCGTGCCTCCATACCATTACTCCATTGTGTATCCATACCATTACTCCACCGTGCCTCCAATTCATAAAGATGTTATTCCACTCAGGCTGTTAGCTGCCAAGGCTAGGTCTGCCACCTGCTGAGTCGCTTCCTTGTAGATATAATTGACCCATTAATAGGAAAGTTACCATCATATGTCCAAAGCTTCACCCACTTCATGGAAATAATCATAGATGCTCCCATCCAATCCAACCAGATGTTGAGCCTGGACATGATGAGTTTGTTCACCAAGGTACACACAGAGAAGTCACTATTGGTAGTCAGGGACAAACTGGTCTTTGACTCATCCCCAGGAGAACATACCAGAATACCAATAGATAACCTGATGGGGATGCTGACTTTCTGTACACAAACAACACACTTTGAAATGGGATCAGACATATATCGGCAAGATGAAGTCTTAGCAATGGACTTGCCCTTGTCACCAGTAATGGCTAACATATACATGGAATACTTTGAAGACATGGCAGTAGAATCCATATCACTAATGCTGACTCTATGTCTGAGATATATAGATGACACCTTCATACTCTGGCCACACCAGGAAGAGGTCCACTACTGGACCATGTGAACTCAATAAAATCATTTATACAGTTCACAATGGAGAAAGAAAACAACAACAAATTAGCATTCCTGGATGTACTAATATTTTGAACAGAGCATGGGTTCAAGTCATCTGTATACCACAAACCAACATTCACTGGACAATGCCTCAACTTCAACTCCAGCCACTTATACAGTGTAAAGAAAATGATCATCCATTGCTTACAACATCGAGCAAAAGTCATAAGTGGCGACCCAGAGCTATATGAACAAAAAATGGTCAGTATAAGCAGTACCTACAGCATAACAACTACTCTGGGTACATGACAGAAGCTCCAACAAACTGGGAGAGAAGGATGCAAGAGGATAACAACACTAAGAAAACAGCTTCGGTCTGCCTACCCTATGTGAAGGGATTTTCAGAAAAGATACAAAAGATCTGTGGTCCATACAACATCAGGATGACCTTCAAAAGTGGTTCAATACTTTGCAGATACCTCTTCTGAGTAAGACCTCTCATAGAAGAGAACATGATTAAGGACTGTGTGTACACCATCCCATGCAGCCGTGGTAAGAAATATAAAGGAAAAACAGGCTGTCCCTTTAAGAAGGCAGGAACACCATAAAGCTGCAACACAAGGGAAAATAGAAAAATCATGGAGAGAAAACTGAGATTACTGCCTACTGTGGGATGAGGTTTTAAATAATAGACTGAGAACATCACTGGAACATATGAAAATTAAATGAATTAGCGCATATGCTAGGCCACAAAAATTTCCTAAACTGGCCAAGCATAGAAATGAATACAATATGGGAACCAGTAGTATGGAGTGCTAGAGAAAAACAATAATAATAACAAAATTGCCAGTGGATAAAAACGTTGAGTTCAATACCTGGCTACAGCTGAGATGAACAAAAACTTGGAGAGTTGAGTTAAAGAGAGATAACTGATACTGAGACATCTGGAAGAGACATGGCACATGGAACTAGAACAATCTACCGTAGTGGATGAAATAAAGGGTTCAGTTTGAAATTCCTGAAGAAGGCTGGAGTGTACAACAGCTGAAATGTAGTGAATATGACAATGGAGATGAAGACAACAGTCCAAACAATGTTATTGAATGTGGAGTAGTGCAGCAATGTAACAGAAAATTCCTTATTTCAATTTTTCATCTCTTACCTTTGACTTTTGCAACTTAGTTAAGGGGAATGTATCTTGAATGGTAATTCTAAGACATTTATCACATTTGTGTTTTGCATATACACTACCTCTGACCATATGGAGTAATAGTCAATGATAACAAGGAGATAATTTCCTTCAGAGACACTCAGTAAGTCCACTGTAACATAGTCGTATGGTTTATCTGATATTGATGTGCTTCTTAATTCTTCTGGTGGTGCATTTTTCACTAATACCTGACGTTGGTATCATTCTTTCACTTCCTTTTCAACCATTTTGTCCAACTGGGACCACTATACTTTGGATCTTAGATGGTTTTCTGTTTGCACTATGCTTCATGTGTTAATTTAATTACTTAATTACTTTAGAATCTAGGAT